CTAAAACAAGTTGTTGAGGAGCAAACTCGTAAAGAGGCCATACTAGAATTAGTGTTAACAAATGGAGATTTGGTATCAGATATTACTGTAGGTGAAAGTTTAGGATCCAGTGATCATCAGTCAGTGAGTCACACCACACAAAAACAAAAGTTTTAGACTTTAGAAAAACAGACTTTTAAATGGAGTCCAAGAGAAATGGGATTATTTAAAAGTTGCACTATTGAAGGCAACAGAAAATTGCATTAGGGTTGTCAGTAAAAGCAAAAAATTCAAGAAACCACTGTGGTACTCCGCAGATGTGGCCAAAATAGTTAAAAACAAAAAGTTAGCATTTAGTAATTATAAAAAACAACAGAGTGAGGAAGACAAAATGATCTATAAGATTAGGCAGAAAGAGGCTGAGTAAGTTATAAGAGCTTCCAAATCACACACAGAAGAGAAAATAGCACAGTCAGTAAAAAAGGGGGACAAAACTTTTTTTAGATATATAAATGAGAAAAGAAAAAGTAAAACAAGGATTAGTTAAATTAAAAACAAAAGAAGGAAGGTATGTAGAAGAGGATAAAGGTCTAGCTGACTGCCTCAATGAATATTTTTGTTCTGTATTTGCAGATGAAAATGAAAGAAAGGGACCTCAGTTAAGAAAAAGGATAAATGAGTCATTTATTACACGTGAGTTTACAGAGGAAGAGGTTCTATTTCAACTGTCAAAAGTAAAGACAAATAAGTCAATGGGACCTGATGAAATACACCCAAAGCTATTAAAAGAGCTTAGTGGTGTACTAGCAAAACCATTAACAGATTTATTTAACCAATCATTGTTAACAGGAGTAGTCCCAGAAGATTGGAAGTTAGCGAATGTTGTGCCCATTTACAAGAAAGGTAATAGGGAGGAGTCGGGCAACTATAGGCCAGTAAGCCTTACTTCAGTAGTGGGGAAAGTGATGGAAACCATGTTAAAGGATAGGATTGTTGAACATCTAAAAACACATGGATTTCAAGATCAGAGACAACATGGGTTTACTTCAGGGAGATCATGCCAAACTAATCTTATTGATTTTTTGATTGGGTAACTAAAATTATAGATCAGGGTGGTGCAGTAGACATTGCTTACCTAGATTTCAGTAAGACTTTTGACACTGTTGCACATAGAAGGCTTATCAATAAACTGCAATCTTTAAGTTTGGATTCCAATATTGTTGAATGGGTAAGGCAGTGGCTGAGTGACAGGCAACAGAGGGTTGTAGTTAATGGAATATATTCGAAGCTTGGACTTGTCACCAGTGGGGTACCTCAGAGATCTGTACTTGGACTCATACTCTTTAATATTTTTATTAGTGATATTGCAGAAGGTCTTGATGGTAAGGTATGTCTTTTTGCTGATGATACTAAGATATATAACAGGGTTGATGTTCCAGGAGGGATAACCCAAATGGCAAATGATTTAGGTAAACTAGAAAAATGGTCAGAATTGTGGCAACTGACATTTAATGTGGATAAGTGCAAGATAATGCATCTTGGACGTAAAAACCCAAGGGCAGAGTACAGAATATTTGATAGAGTCCTAACCTCAACATCTGAGGATAGGGATTTAGGGGTGATTATTTCTGTTGACTTAAAGGTAGGCAGACAATGTAATAGAGCAGCAGGAAATGCTAGCAGAATGCTTGGTTGTATAGGGAGAGGTATTAGCAGTAGAAATAGGGAAGTGCTCATGCCATTGTACTTGGAGTATTGTACACAGTACTGGAGACCGTATCTTCAGTAGTGATGCACCGAACGGTACGCTGGTGAATAGTTCCCGGCGAACATAGCATGTTCGCGTTCGCCATGGCGAACGAACATATGCGCGGTTCGATCTGCCCCCTATTCGTCATCATTGAGTAAACTTTGACCCTGTACCTCACAGTCAGCAGACACATTCCAGCCAATTAGCAGCACACCCTCTCTAGCAGACCCTCCCACCTACTGGAAGGCATCCATTTTACATTCATTCTCAAGCTGCATGCTTGGTGAGAGGAGGGAAAGTGTAGCTGCTATTGATTAGATAGGGAAATGCATAGCTAGGTTTGGGTATACAGTGTCCACTACAGTCCTGAAGGACTCATCTGATCTCTGCTGTAAGGACAGCACCCAAAAAGCCCTTTTTAGGGCTAGAACATCAGTCTGCTTTTTTTTTTTTTTCTGTGTAATGTAATTGCAGTTGGTTGTCTGCCAGCTTCTGTCAGGCTCACAGTGGATACTGTGCCCAGTGCCACCACTCACTCACTGGTGTCACAATAGCTTGCATTTAAAACAAAAACTTTTTTCTATTTATAGATTGAATAGCAGTTAGTTGTCTCAAAGCGGGTGTGTCAGGCTCACAGTGGATACTGTGCCCAGTGCCACCACTCACTCACTGGTGTCAAAATAGCTTGCATTTAAAAAAATAATATTTTTTTTCACTATAATAGATTGAATAGCAGTTAGTTGTCTGCCAGCTTCTGTGTCAGGCTCTCAGTGGGTACTGTGCCCAGTGCCACCACTCACTCACTGGTGTCATAATAGCTTGCATTTAAAAACAAAAAACTTTTTTCACTGTTATAGATTGAATAGCAGTTAGTTGTCTGCCAGCATCTGTGTCAGGCTCACAGTGGATACTGTGCCCAGTGCCACCACTCACTCACTTGTGTCACAATAGCGTGCATTTAAAAACCCAAAAACTTTTTCACTGTTATAGATTGAATAGCAGTTAGCTGTCTCAAAGCGGGTGTGTCAGCCCTACAGCGTGTACTCTGCCAGTTTACAGTGCCACTCATATCTGGTGTCACAATAGCTTGCATTTAAAAACAAAAAACTTTTTTCACTGTTATAGATTGAATAGCAGTTAGTTGTCTGCAAGTGTCTGTGTGTCAGGCTCGCAGCGTATACTGTGCCCATTTGCCCAGTGCCACCACTCACTCACTGGTGTCACAATAGCGTGCATTTAAAAACCAAAAAACTTTTTTCACTGTTATAGATTGAATAGCAGTTACTTGTCTTCAAGCGGGTGTGTCAGGCCTACAACATGTACTCTGCCAACCTTTGACAGTTCAAAGTGCCACTCTTATCTGGTGTCACAATAGCTTGCATTTAAAAACAAAAAACTTTTTTCACTGTTATAGATTGAATAGCAGTTAGTTGTCTTCAAGTGGGTGTGTCAGCCCTACAGCGTGTACTCTGCAAACCTCTGCCAGTTCACAGTGCCACTCATATCTGGTGTCACAGTAGCTTGCACGCATAGTACCACTAATCGAAAAAAAAATGACAGGCAGAGGCAGGCCACCCCTACACTGCGCATTGGGTAAACCTGCTGACGGCTGCCAAGCATGGAATGCGTGGCTCTGCAGAAGAGTTGGTGACACTGCCACGACTTGCAGGCAGGCCTGCTGCCACCTCCTCTACTCCTCTCCTATATCCTCTTCCATAACCTCCTCCGGCTGTGGAGTCCTCTTCTGCTGCTGCGTCTTGCTCATCAACCCGGATAGGGGCGTAACAGGGATTAGAAACTGTGTAACGGATGCAGCCTGGCACCCACGACTGGAGTACCTCCGTTGAAGGATGCTCCCTGGCTTCCTGAGGACTCCAAGCACTGCGGCAGACACCACAACCACCGAACCAGAGAAGCATATGAATCCTCTCAAGCATATGAATGCTGTAGACAGTTGAATAGGAACCATGCGAATAGGTTTACTCTCCTAGCAGTCAAACTGGAACAGCATACAATAAATCCTTCCCCCAATAATGAGACAACACTTCACTTTGAGGGTTAAAACAGGAACTCCCTGTACTGTCACATACAGTCTCTTTTATTCCCAATCCACAAACATAGTACAGCCCACAGAGCGTTACAAAACAACCAATCAATCCGTACAATACACCCAGACACTCCCACACAAAATCCTCCCCTCTGCCTGTGATATGATTACTGAACACAATGGGTAATCTCATTATCTTGACAAGTGGCCACACACAATAATTTATAACTACAAAATATACATGTCACATACATAAAACTTACATTTTCATAATCAATCCATTCAGGGGAACAACATATTAAAAAATGGCGCGAATCAGACCAGGGGTTCAAAAGTTAAGGGAAAGTCCTTTGTGACTAAATGAAGCATGGCTTTCTGGCCCAAACCAGTTTCAGAGTCTTCTATCCTGGAGATAAGTAATTCAATTATCTCCCAGGATAGACACAAGACTCCATTAAGCACATGGTTGCAAAAAGGCACAAAACACTTTAAAATACATAAAGTCACATTTA